AAGAGAAGTTGAAAGACTGGATATGAAATCATTTGACTCCCATAATGTAAAAATCCAGGAACAGATGGCTTCACTAATAAATTCTACCAAACCTTCAAAGATGATTTAATACCTATTCTTCTTGAACTCTTCCAAAAAATTGAAGAAGAGATAATACTTTCTAAATCATTTTATGAAGCCAACATTACCCTGATATCAAAACTCAGTAAAGCTGACACACACATGAAAAAAACTATAGACAAATATCTTTGATGAATACTGATGTAAAAATCTAAAACAAAATACTAGCAAATAGAATACAACAATACTTTTAAAAGATTACACATCACAATCGAGTGGGATTTATTCCAGGGGCACAAGGATGGTTCAACATATACAAATTGATTAATACAATACACCACATAAACAAAATAAAGGATAAAAATCATACGATCATATCAAAAGATGCAGAAAAAGCATTTGACAACACACAGCATCTATTTATGATTAAATCTCTTAATAAAATGGGTATGGAAAGAAAGCACCTCAACATAATAAAGGCCATATAAAACAAGCCTTCAACAAATATGATATTTAACAGTGACAAACTAACAGCCTTCTCTCTAAGACCAGGAACAAGACAAAGTTATTTGCTCTTATGACTCTTATTCAATATAGTGTTAGAAATCCTAGCTAGAGCAATAGGGCAAGAGAGAGAAATAAAAAGCATCTAAATTTGGAATGAGAAAGTCAAATTATCACTTTTTGCAGATGACATGATTTTCTATAGAAAACCCTAAAGATTACACCAAAAGAACTATTAGAAACAATAAAAAAATCTAATAAATTTGCTAGATACAAAATCAATGTATAAAAATTCATAATGTTTCTGTATGCTAAAAATAAAATTCCAGAAATATAAATAAAAGAAAACAATTCCTTTTGTAATTGAAACAAAAACGATAAAATAACTAGGAATAAACTTAAAGAAGCATTAACATGCTTCTTTAAATAAGAAAACTATATGACATTATACTGAAAACTATATGACATTATTAAAAGAAATCGAAGAAGACATAAGGAAATGGAAAGATATTTTGTGTTCATGGATCAGAAGAATGAACATAGTTAAAATGGCCTTATATCCAAAGCATTATACAGATTTAATACAACACTCCCATCAAACCCAATGTTATCTTTTAAAGAAATAGAACAAAAAGTTATCAGATTGGTATGGAATCACAAAAGACCCTGAATATCCGAAACAATCCTTTAAAAAAAAAAAAGACCAGAACTAACACACTGCCTGACCTCAAATTATACTACTAAGTGACAATAATCAAAACAGTATGTTACTGGCAGAAAAACAGACACAAAGATCATTGTACAAAATTGAGATCTCAGAAATAAAC